CCCCCACAACCAAAATATAAACATCATTAAACATTATAACCACGAGCAACCTGGTCCGCCCCGCCCCCCCCGAGACGGGCCGCCGGCCTCCCCGGGCGGCCTCCCCTGAGGAGGGGACTTGGGCCCCCCAAAGTGGCTCCTAGACGCCCGAGGGCCCGGGGCTCCGCAGCTGAGGGCGCCTAGCGGCCACCTTGGAAACGGGCGGAAGAGCGTGCGCGGCGGCGTCACCCGACCCGGCGCTATCACGTGATCTGGCGTTATCACGTGGTCTCTCCCGCGCCCCCGTTTGCGCTGGTGGATCCAAGGGAACAGGTGTGCGCGCGCCCAAGGACGCCCGTCGCACGCGCGCGCGCGCACACACACACGTGTGCCAAGGGCTGCAGGGTAAACAAACGGCGGTCCGTCCTGCGTTGAAATGCTGTCGGTCAGACGGGGCGAGCTCGCAAGCCCCAAAACGACGTGCTTTGCCCTTCAGTGCCTGTTGCCAGCGAAGCCCCTGAAAGAGCTGCGCGCGGTGTGCCTGCTGGAACAGGCAGCTGCAGGAACGGTCATCCGGCGGTGCCACGGCGGGTGCGTGGGTGAAGCGCGGCCCTGGACCTGCTCTGTGCGATGTCAGTGAGGGACACTGTGGGCACGGGAGTGTCAGTGCACAGAGAAACTCAACGGATGCACATTTTTTAAAAAAAATCATTTAAGAGATTGGGGATCCCAGAATGGAATGCAGAGTGTGACAAAACGATCTATTACAAATGTACAGCACAGCCTCACGGAGGGCGGTGCTGACCCAGTAACCTTGGAAATGAGTGGAGTCCTAGGACCGAAGGGAAAAGGTGGACCAGTACACAGACACTTCTCTCCAAGTTGTTCCCAGGGCGTGGGGCACGGATTACCGCCCTGAAAATCCTACCTGCCTACAGTGGAAATGGATCATCAAGTCCGTGGCATGGGGTGGGGGGGACGGGGAGCCAGGCTTCCTGCTGTTGGGGGGGGTGTCTGCAGAGAAGAAGGAAGGGGGAGCCTGGGATATTCCCTGGTGGTCAGAGCCGGCATCTCAATGAACGGTTTGGCTCAGTGTCCGCACGGGTGGCTGTGACAGTGTTACACGCGGAGCCACATGGATTGACACACACATTTCCTTCCCCCCAGCTGCAGGGGCCCAGAAGCAATGACGCCCCAGTAGCAATGTGCACCTTGAGCACCCAGATCCCGGTTTCTAATCCCACATGCAGAGAAGGGTCCAGGGTTCCTTGGAGAAATGGCTGATTCTAGGTCTGGGGACGCTCTAATAGTGCCAGAAAGTAAGGACGTGCTAAAAACAAACAAACAAACACCTCACCATGATGGGCATATGACAGGGACCCAGGAGTCAGCTGAAAGGGCTTCCAATGGCCAAAGCTGGAACCATGTGACCAACAAATGAACAAGACAAATAAGGTAGTTTTATTCTATAACCGAAGTACCACTTGACTGTATGTGGGTCCATGCTGATACATGTATACCCAGTGTCCTCAGAATGCTGAGCCCTGCCCTCCAGGAGCCGGAACGTGCCTCCCATCCCTAAGTGTGGGTAGTGCACAGGGACCTCCCCACCCAGGAACACAGCCGGGAAAGGGGGGAAGGAGCACCTGTAGGGAGGAGACGCCTGATAGACACAACCTCAGCCAGGTGACCAACATCACACCACAGCGATCAGCCGTGGCGACAGTACTGCCCCGATACGGTGTGCTGAGAAGGTCACCCCACCTTTGCGGTCTTCCTCCCCCAAACCCATCACCCCGGTTTAATCAGGAGAGAAACAGCAAGTAAACCCCATTTAAAGGGATTCTACAACACACCTGACGAGTCCTCCCAATTGTCAGGTCATCAAAGTCTGGCCCTGCCAGCATGGCCCTGTGGTTGGGTGTCGACCTAGGAACCAGGAGGTCACGGTTTGATTCCCAGTCGGGAACGTACCCAGGTTTCAGGTTGAATCCCTGATCGAGGCTCATCTGAGAGGCAACTGACTGATGTTTCTCTCTCTCAAATCAATGGATACATATCCTTGGGTGAGGAGTAGTAAATAATAATAACGATTAATAATAACAAGGAACACTCCGGTTGCCCGCCAGCAGTGGGTGCCTCCTTGCCCCAATGCACTTGCTTCTCTGGGTATTGCCTCCCTCTCAGGCTTTCACAGAAAGCGAGCAGCTGTGGGTCCCTGCGCTGGCCAGGGCCTCCATGCCTCCCGGTTGGGAGAAGTTGCTCCCCGCTCCTGAAAGGGCTGCCTTCTGGAAGGGGGAAGGGAAAACAAACTGAAATCTCCCCAAGTCACCCTCCCACACGTGTGCTGTGCCATTTACAAAAATTATCTCCTTTTTAATACATTTTTATTGATTTTAGAACAGGAGAGGGAGTGAGAGATAGAGACAACAATGATGAGGAAGAATCATCGATCAGCTGCCTCCCGCACACCCCCTACTGGGGATCGAGCCAGAAACCCGGGCATGTGCCCTGACCGGAAATCAAACCACCACCTTCTGGTTCATCACCGGCTGGGCTACAAAAATTATCTTAAGTCCAGAGGCAACCAGAATAGGACATGAGACACAAAACTCCATGTGTGCTCAGCAGACATATTCTTCCTCCCGTGCACGGCACTGAGCAGGTGCGTCCTCGGCTGGTGCTTCTCCACGGAGGCTGAGATTGGGCTGGGTTGAGCCGCGCCAGCGCTCCAGGCCTGTCCCCGGGAGCTCACAGCCTTGAAGACACACGGCAGCCTTGACTGGCAGCAACCACCTTAATAATCGGTGGAGCTGGAGGCCACACTGAACGGCACTTTCCAGTGGGGCCAATCCATGACCAGCATCCTTTCCGGGACACCCTCCCGGGTGAGGTGCAGTGCCCCCCCTCCCCTCCCTGGCTGCCTGCAGGGTGGGTCCTGCTCTTGGTTCTCAGGGATACTGGACAGAGCTGAAGACTCACTGACACCAGGTGAAACTTTGTTTCACTGAAGGGGAGGTGGGTGGAAAGGGGCAGCTGTGGCCGAGTCTGAGTCGGGAACCAGGCCAGCCTGTCTGTGTCTGGACCCCAAGACCCAGGTCCCGGGAAGAAGGAGGCAAGTGTGTGCTGACCAAGGCTTGAATGACTTGGAGCCAGGGACCCGCTGCCAGGGTGGAAGGTCCTGGGCACCTGGTGGTCAGAGGGAGTTCCAAATGAGAGCACCCATAAGAAGAGCACCCTTCCAAAACCTGGGGGAGGGGGAGGGAGGCAGGTCATGGTCCCACGGGAACCCTCTCGGCCCCTGGAGCCTGCGCAGAGCTCTGCTCACTGGGGTGGAGGGTCGCCGAAGCTGTCCCCGCTTTCGGCAGGATGCTGGAAGCCGCGGTTGACGTAGGTGCCGTTGGCCCACCTCACCGGGATGGAGTGCTTTTTGCAGGAGGCTGTCCTGGCCGCAGCCGCCTCCTCTGCCCGCCTCTGCTCCAACACCAGAGCCATGTTGATGTCAGGCCCTGCAGAGGGACAGACAGAGGAGTGGTCACACGCCTTCCCCGCATGGGTGCTCCCACACTGCCTGGGGCTCCTCCCGGGGGGGGGGGGGCCTGCGGGAGGGGCCTCACGCACCCAGGTAGCTCAGGATGACCGGCAGGAAGACCAGGCCGTGCAGCAGGCCCAGCAGAGTGATGAGGAGGTTGAGGCGGAAGAAGAAGATCTGGATGAGCTGGGCCTTCGCCAGGCCCAGGATGAGGATGCCGGGCAGGTTGGTCATGGCCACGCCGGCGAACACCTAGGGCCGCACACAGGTGTCAGGCTGGGCACGCAGCAGCTGGCGACAGGCCCTGCGGCCGCCCGCCCACTCACCGCACTGCCCATGGAGATGGTGGCCTCCTTGGCCCTCTCCAGCCGGGTGGGCTTGGTGCTGACCGCAAAGGAGCGGGTGATGTGGGACACGAACTCCACAGAGATGCCCACGGCCTGCGGGCAGAGAGGGGGCATCAGCCTCCACAGGGCCCGGGCGGGGTCTCCGCCAGGCCTGCGGGCAGAGAGGGGGCATCAGCCTCCACAGGGCCCGGGCGGGGTCTCCGCCAGGCCTGCGGGCAGAGAGGGGGCATCAGCCTCCACAGGGCCCGGCGGGGTCTCCGCCAGGCCTGCGGGCAGAGAGGGGGCATCAGCCTCCACAGGGCCCGGGTGGGGTCTCCGCCAGGCCAGCGGGCAGAATGGAGAGCCTGAGAGAAGGGGCCCGAGTCTGCGGTTACCGTGACCAGGTTGATGAGGGACACGGCATTGTAGCTGATGCCCCACAGGGCCATGAAGCCCACGGTGTCCACCAGGATCATGATGATGGAGAAGAGGTTGATGAGGCCGGAGCGGAGGTCCATGCCCAGCAGCAGGCAGCAGACGGCAAAGGTGGGCACCAGGCAGAGGCTGAGCATGAAGAGCCCCTCGGGCACCACCGTCAGGTACTGCTCGTAGAACACGTTGGTGATCCTGGGGGTGCAGGCACTGTCACGCGGCGCCCCAACCCCCACACCCTCCTCAGGAGGAGGGCACAGCTCAGCAGGGGTGCGGGGCGCCTTCCCCAGGTCCCTCCCTGCTGCCCACCGCCCGCCCGCCTGGGCCTCACGTGTAGGGGAAGACCTCGAAGGCCGGGTCGGTGCCCGGCACCTTCCGCAGGCCGGCGGTGATGTTGGCGGCCAGTGCCCGCGCTGCCCGCAGAGCCTCCGTGTAGTCCTGCGAGTTCTTCAGGGGCTTGTGGTAGGCCATGAAGCGCGAGGCTGGAGCCAGCCCGGGAATGAGAGACGAGGTCAGAGCCGGCTCCAGGCGCCCTCAGGACCCGGGGGGCTGGTTCAGGGCCCTGCTGCCACCGAGTTTGGGATTCGGAATAAACTTCGGGCAAAGGGCCTGCGGTTGGGTGTGGACCGGCCCTGCCTCTGATGGATGCAGCCACAGGGGTCTCCCGTGGACCCACATGTTGCTCTGAGGGTTTGGGGTGGGGAGGCAGAAGGTGAAGTGTGAGGTCGAGGATCTGAGTAACTGACAACCTCCAAGGGGGAGGCTAGAAGCTCCCATGAGGGAGGAAGGAGAGAGGATGTGGATGGAGGTGGTCCCGGAGGCTCATGGCCCTGGAGCCGCTGACTCACATCTTCCCCACCAGGCCAGGCCGCGCTTACCCAAAACCTGGCCGTCGTGGTCCAGCTTCACGGAGGTGCTGTATGCTGCCAGGCCACTGGGGTGGGCAGATAAAGGCTTGGTTGGAGCCAAGGCTCCCCCAAGGCCCCCTCCCCCACCCCCACCCCCACCCCCACCTCCCTGCACCACCCACTCCACGCCCCCTGCGGACCCCACGCAGGCCTACCCTTTGGGACACTTGATGTTGGGTGGGTCGCTGAGGAACCAGGGGAGGTACTTGTGGAACTGGTCCACCGATGGCCGCACGGGGCCGAGGGGTGAAACTCATACAGTTCTTCAAGCAGCCCAGAGAGTCTGCAGAGAGTGGGGGGTGAGGAGCGGCGCCCTCCGGCCGCTCTGTGCCCCTCGTGCCCAGGCACCTGCCCCCTGCAGGCAGCAGCAGCCTGTGTGCCCAAGAGCACACTCCGTTTCCCTATAACTGGGGGGGGGGGGGGCTCTCTCCATCATGGAAACTGCCGACCCCTATGAACGGGTGAGGAAGGGAAGTTTGGGGCAGAGAAACGGCCCACGGCCCACGGGGCCTCCCCACCTACAACGCAGCTGCTCCGGGGCCGGGGCTGCCTGGGCCACCTGGGCTCACTCCCCCCTCCCGCTGCGTGAGAACCAGCGTGCCCAGAGCGTGGGCACAGCTCAGGAGAGTGTGTGAGTGCCCAGTGTCCAGCCCCCTTGGGCTCGGGCACCCACACGTGTTCTGAGCCTGGGTCCCATCCCAAATGACCCTTTAGGAGGGTGTGAGGGGCTAAGGGAGCCTCCCCAGTTCTCTCCTTTCTCTCCCTCAGTTCCCCAAGTTGTGGGGGCCATGAGCCCCCAGAGGCCTCTCACTCACTGACAGTCGAGGGGCAGAACTGGTCCTTGTTGGGGCCAAAGGAATACAGGCGGCAGCAGGAGGATGGTGTCAGCCAGTCAATGAAGTCGTCCACCCAGGAGGAGGCGGGGATGGCCAGGTAAGACCTGGGGGTCGGGGGCGGAGCTCAGGGGGCAGGGCCAGAGGGCAAGTCGTGGGTCCTTCACATGGCCCCACCCCCACACTGGGCCTCCCCAGGCACAGCAGCAGGTGGGCAGCAGGATGGGGCCAGGAAGGCAGGAAGGGGGGCCAGAGGGAGTGGGGGACACAGGCGGGGACACTCACTGCTCAGGGAACTCGGTGGCGTACTGGATCTTCTGGGTTAAGGAGAAGCTCTCGCAGCCGGCGCT